GACATCAAAATGAGTGTAGATGTGTCTCATTATCTTTTCCTTAACAGTGCATTATGGTGTTTATTAATAATATACATTATTCATAATGTTAATTGATATAGTATTTATTTCTGATGCTATTATAGGTGTCATTGAAACAATTCATTCCCAAACTTTTAACTCATAATGAGATCTTAGAAAAGGACATATGCTAAATTCTTTATCATGGTCTCTTTGACCCTGGCAGTTTTCTGTCCATCATGAAGAGGAGCAGAAACCAGAAAAATACCCCTACCCCATTTAACGTATCTTCGTTACAATATAAAGAATCGATGCTACTTTAATTAGCACTACCTCCTCTAGAAGAGTAAAATTAGGGAACGGTTTTGGAGTACAAGCTTGCCCTGTAGAAAGAGTACAGGATGTGTACCAAGGACTCTGCCCAGAATTTCCTAATGCATCCACAATTGCAACAAATCTTTCGTAATGAACATTTAAGACTGCGTACATTATCTTCATTTAGCAGATAAGGAAGCTGAGAGAAGGTGACCAGGTAACTTGTCCTAAGTCATAATATTAGCAAGTGACACAACCACGATTCTGGTTTTTCCTTTCCTGGCCCTAAAGATATTCTTCCTGTAGCTTTTCAAGAAGTAGCAGAGAGAGAGGGTTGGATGTGTTCCTCCTCTCCTCTCCTTTGGGAATCTTGGGGTTCCAGGACCAGGACAGAAGGGTCATGACACATTTCTCACATGTGCTAGAAGAAGATGGTGACCCACCACAAATCACACTACTGCCATTAAGCCCTAACCATTTTCTTCTTAATGGCACTTGATTATTGATGACTGGGTCGCTTTAAAGTGTCTGTTCTTTTCCATGACGATATTTTAGTTTGCTTAATACCTGCAGTGCATTTGGTCAGTCTTTCCATTGTAAATTTGTCCTCTATGTCTGAACTGCTGCTCAAAAATACTCATTTCTAAAGTACTGACATGATTTAGCCAAATTGAATGTAAGCTCAGAAACTATAATTTATCTACTTATACAGAATAAGAAAAAGGCCTTGGAGCATCTGGCTGGCTCATTCGCTTGAGCATGCTACTCTTGATCTCAGGGTCCTGAATTCAAGACCCAGGCTGGGCATGGAGCCTACTTAAAAAAAAAAAAAAAAAAAAAAAAAAAAAAAAAGAACGAAAGAAAGAAAGAAAAAAAAAAGAAAAGTGAATTTAGCTCTTCTAGTTAAGAAAAAAAAAAAGCCTTTAGGGGCACCTGAGTGGCCCTGCTTCAGATTCTGTCTCCCTCGGTCTCTGCCCCTCCCCCATTCGCTTTCTGTCTGTTTCTCAAAAATAAATAAATGTAAAAAAACAAAAATGGTTTTAAAGCCTTTGGACACTAATGATTTGAGTTGTGGTACAGAATTATCTAGTATGTTTTTTACAGCTTTTTTGCCCTTTAGTTTTGCTTGTTTTTTTGTTGTGTAATTCTTGTTTTTAAGATGGAATGCCCATGATCAGAACCCATGGAGAAAAATCACCAACTCAGGGTATCCTGGAATTTTTATTACTTTTTTTTTT